ACTCTTTCCAAACTATTGGTAAAGCCAGTCAACAATTCTTCAGTGCTGTGTGATTCCGACCTGATACAAACAGGATTAGAGATAGCACAGTTAGGGCTTGCTCCCATCATAGCTGTGCTATTATTGACCATTTCCAGAAAAACATAATACTGTAAACACAAGAGCAAATTAAGTCACAAGGCAACAGTAACACAAAAATAACAACACAGGCAAGAGGCAAAATGTAGAAAATATGGTTTGGGTTAATTTGGTTACTGCTTTGAATAAACACTGAAGACTTCAAAACCAGGGATTACTAAATAGACCTACTAAGATGGGAATGATGATGGGGTAATGCAAATATACACAGAAGGGAGAGTTCAAGAATGCAAATACACCTTACCTGCACAAGCTGTAGAAGATAATGAAGAACATCATCATCTTCCAAACTTTCCAGTTTTTGAACTGCCATTGCTCGGACATTTTCATCTGAAAAGTTACAGTCCAGAAGTTGCATTGTGAGTCCAACATCTAAAGTGCTTTGATCCCAAACCTCCTTTTTAGCTAGCAACTGGTATGTTTTGGCCACTATTTCTTGTTGTCCCCATTTCACAGAGCTAAGCAGCTTAGGATATGCCTTGGGGTGCTTTATGCTTTCATATCTAAAGTGCCACAACAGTTCTTTGTCCTCAGGAGAAAGTGGATTAAGTGGGTCAGTTGCTATGATCTCTTCAAGTTGCTTGCGAAGCTGGTTGGGCATTTCAGCTCGTGTCCTATCCCCTTGGGGGTCTGATGTTATCCTGTGCTTGGGCAAGGCAATTGGGTGACAATATTTGTCCAGCACAATAGAGATAGCCATTGAGTTTTCTTTATCTGGGTTAGTTGCTGATGTGAGTTTGTCTGCATTGATACTTCCTTGTTCTTCCCCCTTGCCTGGAATTTTCCACATGTGGAGCACATACTCCCCACTTCGTAGCAAGAAACGGTGATCTATCAACAAAAGATTTACATAATAGAGAAGCTGAGTTTTGCACTTTGGATCAGAGTTGGGGGATTCATGTGACTGAAGGTTCGTCTTTGCAGACAGTCCCTGTGCTTTACCACAGTATATCTGAAGATTCAGGAGTGCCCCTTTAGGCAAATCCTTGATTTTGATATCAAATTCCAACCAAATATTCCACAGAACCTCCTCAGTAAAAGGCTTCGATGAAGTCCTCCTCTGTGAAAGGAGCTGCTGCCCATGTTGAATGTTAGCCTCCACAAACACAGTGAGATCAGTATTTCTTGGTAAAACTGGGATATCAATGCCAATTATTTTCACCCTAAATTTCCTATTACAATCCCACAAAGAGATAGTGAAGACTCTCTCATGATCTTTTCCATCTATAGTCAGTTGTTCATGATACCCTGTAACACCTGTACAGTCATCCACCAAGGGCCACTCTTCCTTCTGAACCTCATCCTCACTCGGGTCAGGGGGATTGTCTAAGACAAGGTGGATTTCTTCCCCATTCTTAAGGCACTGTCTTATCCAGTGAAAATCTCTGATTGGCGTCTCTCCAGTAATGTACTCATCTCTGCCACAAATCCTGAGAACAAAATCCAGTTCACTGTGATCTTCAGGAATGTCCATCAAAGACTTTTTCTTCGCCATTTTTGTGAAAAAGCTGTGGAGAATCATATCTGGAGTGTCATCTATTGACACTTTAATTTTTTGGCTAGTAGTGCCTCTATGTATGATTATGAAAATGTTATTATTAGTGATCTTTTTTAATAAATACTCTGGGAGTGGCTTAGATGTAGTCCATGGGCGCATTGCATACAACTTAGGATCTCTACAGGCTACCTCTATCATTCGTGGAGTGACTAATCTGCGACGGGTAAATTCTAGTTCATCATCATGCACGTTGCTTACATCAGTGACATCATAACCAATTAAATCATTAAGTTGCCGCTGAAATTCCTGAACTTCTTCTGATGGGTTTTGTTTCTGGACAACATAGATCTTGCCTACCTTTTTCTGTAACACTTTCCAGTATAGTATGCAGTCCAATGTCTGTAATACTTGATGTTTATCATAAATTTCATACCACTGCCCTTTCTTCTGATACTGTAGAATAAACTGATCCGGGGTGAATGTGTGGTAGAAGTCTGTGGTTTGACTCATCTCTAGTGCATGCATCCAAATCTGTGCTTTCATTTGCTCAACTGTACAGTTGGCAGCTATTTCGAGTAACATCATTTCCGGTACTTTAGTATGTTTATTGCTTGTAGGCAAAATGAACTCAATGGATATCAGTTCCATTGACGACAAATTACTCGAGGTACAGTGAGGTTTCATCCTTCTTCTCCTTCGTTTGTTTTCCTCTCTCATAACCACGGGCTGTTCATAATCCTCCAACTCCATGCCAGAAGAAGTCTAGCAAAAGATACAAATGCTTGATTACTTTCTCATTTACATTTTTATTCACTCTTACTCTTTAAGTCTTCTTAATTGAAATCATAGGCCAGTCAGAACCCTAGTATGTACACGCTTTCTTAATTTCTGGTCATAAATACTTGATCTACATAAACCACCTCAGACATAATCTACTCAATTCAATACCAAATACGAAAAAAAGGCCAACAAACAACAGAACAACCCTCTAATGATTAAATAATTTAAACAGAACTTTTAAACAGCCTTTCCAGATTTCACTGAGGATAAGCAGTCTGACTATGTATTTCCTCCACACTAATTTGTTCTTGCTTCTATTTGATCAAGCACTGATTCTTTTGTTGCCTTATCTGTTTTGATGCTGCTGACATTAACATAAGTGGGTTTTCAAAGAAATCAAAAGACATGCTACTGTGCATGAGCAGAATGCCGTCCCACTGAGCTCCAGGAATGACCAAAGGTAACAAAACAAGGAATCTGTTTGCAAACTTGACAGAGGTGAGCCTATTCCCATTTTCCTCTGCCTCTCTTTTTAGTGATGAGGAATAAGGACTTACAGCAAGAAAATCCCTTAGGATTCAAAAGTCAGGGACTACTTCTGAAGACAGATATTTAATATGCATCTAAGTTCAATCCTCGTATCCTTAGATGTGCTTCTTTATAACAAATCAATTCACCAGAATGGTAACATCCGTCCATTTTAAAAGTAAACATTTCAAGTATAAACTATCAGCTTTTTACAGAAGAAAAAACTGCCAAGCTGATGCCTATTTCTTACCCTATACATCAAATCACACTCAAAACATCTGTAAAGCAACATCAAACACGAGTAGCCTACCTTACCAGCTTTCAGTAAACAAAACATATTGTTGCTCATGGTTAATCTCCACTGAACAATATTAAAGTGTAAATGATTCACCAAGAGCTTGGTAGAAGAAGGCAGCGCTGATTGAGCATTCTCACATAAGCTAAGTTACAGCAACACACTGAACTTCTTTTCCAAACAGTGTATTTTACACATAAAATCTTTCTCTAACAGCTGGAAAAAACCAAAACCAACGTAATGATGTCTTAATAGATAACAAAACAAGAAGATAAAAATGTCAAAGGTTAAAATGAAACAACAGAGCACGCTAACTAAAATTCTTTTTCAAGTTCCGGAACGCAAAGACTGTGGACACACCCCATCTATAACTGACAAAGGAAATATTACCTGTTCGTAAAATAAAGGCTCAGTTGCTGAAGACAATTCATTTGTCTGATATCTGAAGTTCCTATTTTTTTAAGGGAAGATCATTCATGAAAAAAAATTCTTTGTTTAAGCTGTTCTGCTTTTCTTGCTCGCCCTCATATCCAGATGCAAAGGAAGTGCTGCACTTACCAGGAAGGAAGTTTTAACCAAGTTGATTATACATATGATTGCTCATTTTTAAAAAAGTCAGAATGATTTTCCTGTTACAACAGTAAAAATACACTGACAGTACACCAAGTTAATTTTAATACACATGTACAGAAGACGTGCTTAAAGCCTTCTAAAAATAGCTAAGAATAATATGGGCAATAAATTAAACGAATCCAAATAAAACATTTCAAAAAAGTATCTTTTGGAGAGCCTAAATACTTCATAAAAAAGTAAATAAAAATACTACATAAAAGACGACTAGATCTGCAATGTTTTCTTAATTTTGTTTCCATGGTGATAGCCCTTTGAGGGCTCCCAACTTAAATCCATTAGAGTTTTTTAAGCCAGTCTCCATACAAGCATCACATGGAGATGGTATCTGCCAAAGATCTTGCATGGTAACCTCAGCAATAGAACTGCAGGGCAGTCTTCCCCCTAGTATTTTTAACTCATCATTTATAATTACAAACACATGGTCAAATCCACTAGAAACGATGACTGAAAATTCAGGAAGAATTTAAACCATGGACTTCCAACCCTAATTCTTGTGGTTAACTACACTCTGAAGAGCTGTTCCTTTACTAAATAAAAAAAAAAAACCAAACAAACAAACAAACAAAACCAAAAAACAAACAAAAAAATCCCCACAGGAAAACAATTTGGGAAAACATGTACAAATCAGAAAGACAAGACAGAAACCCCTCTAATTGTATCCTTATTCCTTATGGTATTTGCAGTGAAATACTGACCATCTGAACAGCAATATCCAGCACACATCCTACAGCAGTACATATCCTGCAAAAATGCTGACTCTTGAGAAGGACAAATCTCTTACCTGTCTCCAATGTGCCACTCACAACCTCTGAAATTAACACTTTGCAGAGGTTAAAACAAGAAAATACCCTCCATCATAGACACAGTCCTTCTTTCTCAGAGCACCATTTTGCTTGGCAGCTAAGATTGATTTCTTTTCAGAGGATCTTTTTCTCAGGAAGTGATTCTGGGGAAACACACTTGTCCTAGCTCCCTCTGCCTTTTAGTCAGCATTTGAAATGTCTCAAGGAAGTGGCAAAGTTGCCCTGAACATCTTGTTGCTGTCGTGAAACCTACACATGTTGGCCAAGACATCTCCACACTCATCCTCCACGCATTTATCAACCACAGTGTCTGTGGCAACTCAGCACTACACATCGCTTTCCTCTGCAGTCTGAAAAAAGCACTCGGTGGCTGGAAAACTTGAGCACCAGTAACCAAAACAACAATGTCCAGGATGACGGAGAAGGAAGCAGCTGGTTCCATGTAAAAAGGAAAAGGAGCTGGATGTGTAGGAGAAGAAAGGGAGCAAGGCTAAAGGCGAAAATGTGTTTTGCAAAACCTGTGTTTTGAAATCCCCAACTGTGAAGAGTTTGACTTTGCAACGCCTTTTCAGAGTCTATCTTATGAAGTATAATTTCTAAACCATGTAATGTAGTCTTGTATTTTTCTTCATTTACACATAAGCAACTAGCAGTAAGGGGTTTTGCATCTGGCTACATAAGTTTTTTGCAAATATTCCTCATTCTAAAAGTCGTGCTGATCCTGTTAAGTTAACCTGGACTTGTATGAGTTTCATTGCATTTTGCCAGAGCTAAGAAAGCATGCTGGTTTAAAATGTCCTCATTTTGTCATCATGTGCTATGCACTTAAAAGATTAACTTTTCAAACACATACACATACCAATATTCTATCTCTGCTAAGCTATTTTAGAACTACTAGACAATCCAAGGCAGCATCTTTACCTCATGCAGCAGAGAACTACCCTGTACACTGCTCGATGAATGCAATTGTTTGACACTGTCATCCACTTAAAAAGACAGGCAGAGCAATATTGTGAAAGGTTCTGACATCCCCCCCCTCCTCCCCAACTGCATCAGATACAATGCTATGTGCACTATGCATGTGCTATGCATGACACTTGTGTAACTGCCCACACAAGACTGCCTCTTCTCCCACATTCATTTGGGCTCTGACCTGTCATGTCTAGTCCAGTCCAGTCCAATCTACACTTCCAGTTCAGCTCTGACCCCTTTACATCAGCTTCAGAAGCCAGTTCTTGAAGCAATGATTATCTCTAATCTGTGCCTGCAGTGACAGACACAAATGTCCCATTCTTAGGATGACACCAAATTGTCTCTATTTTCTTTTAATCCATGTGTAGGCATGGCAAAACCGTATTTCCTTATGCATATGCATCAGAAAACTCTGACTTTATAACAGAAAATCATTTAAAATCACTTCCTAAACCCTTTGTCGTGCCTAAGCATTACATTATTGACATTTCTATACGCCCACTGCAACACTACAAAGAAAAAAAAATCTCTTTTTTATTTCTAATTCTAATCATCCTCATCAACCCTGAATTTCCCTGTGTTAGCAGAACAGTCCTACCAGAGGTCCACAATGATGGTGGCAATGCAGCAGGAGGAGGTGCGCCTGTAAAAGGTAGCTAAGACAAGCAAAGAGGTTTGCCTTTGTCTCCAGTCGTGTTCCTATCTCATTGCTCAGGTCAGCAAACAAAAAAATTTGGTTAATTTTCAGCTGGATCAGCTCCCTGATCTGAGTCATCACTTGCAGAAGTGGTAGGACAGAGACAGGAACTGAAGGGAAGGGAATGGAGCCAGCACAGTTTAGGCTGAAACATAATTCACAGCAGGATTAGGAGAGAAATTAATGAGAAAACTTATTACATGATTTGAAAACACTGGCTGAAAGGTGCCTTAAAGAGACAAGGTGGTATTATCACGAATTACTTAGCACATTCTGCTACATAACATCACAATATTTGTCAAACTTCACTGCTTTATTAGGATTGTGTGAAGGGTTTTACCAGTTACTTATTCTTCAATGGCTATTTTCATGCTTATTCTATATTAGTTCCTGCTTCTGGTTTAATCCACACTGTGAAAGCCTCATTTTAAAATGATTCTTTGCACTTTAGTGTGAACTTCTCAGACAACATAACCTGCAAGAAAGCAGGCGCTCTCTATGGGAGTTAAGAATTACCTCATGCAGACATTATGCAAATATAATAATACTGCATTTACATTCACAGTTTCAGATAAAGTTAATTGTAAGATAAATAAACCCAACAGACAAAACCAACAAACAAAACTCCTGTGACACAACCTGAAGTTTTCCAAGCAGCATACTACATCTACTTGCTCGCGTTGTCCTGTAGCCAGAGATCGCTTTGCACTTGCTGGATAGGAGTACAACACATCTTCCCTGCATCTACAGTGATCCAGTGCTGGCATATGCAGGCAAGATACAGCACCACCGTGTTAAGCGTGAACACAACAGCAAACGCCATTCTGCTCAGTTCTTTTGTCAAATCCTCTAGCAACTACCAGCTTTCATGGGAACTAAATCAGTGCAAGCTCCCATGAGCAATTAAACTTCACAGGTAATACTCACATTCTTCATCTAAAAGCAGACTAATCAGCAGATACAGCTCGACATCTGAGTCAGGAGGTGTTGACTGCTATTATGGCTGTAATATTTTCGGGATGCACCTGCGTTCACTACAGAC